AGGCATTCAGAGGCCAGGCAAGGGTGTCTGGTGCCTCCTTTATCACTCTCCATCCATTCCTTTGAGGTAGGATCTCTTTTAGAATATGCAGTAAATTGGGGGCTGGAGAGATGGCTCAGTGGTTAAGAAGACTGACTGCTTTTGCAGAGGACCTGGGTTCGATTCCCAGCACCCACATGGTGGCTACCAAACCATCCTTAACTCCAGTTCCAGGGGAATCTGAAGCCCTCTTCTGACCTCCATGGCATTACATGACATGGGTGCACTCACATACGTGCAGGCAATACACTCGTACATGTAAAAATAATAGATAAATTTTTTTTAAAAAAGAATATACAGTGAACATTCCACCCCCACCCCCCTTGGAGCTGGGATCACAGGCATTTGTGAGGAAGCCCGGCTTCTCTCATGGTGCTGAGATCCAAATTCTGGTCCTCATGATTGTGTCACACATACCATTAACCACTGAGCCATCTCTCTAGGCCCCAATCTTAAGTTTTATCAAGCAAATTGGCAAGATTTCAAGGGGTGAAATGCTCAATTATCATATCAATTTTCACAGTGAAAGTCATTCTATAATTTTATTCCTCATGTCTTGTTTTTTCTTTAGTAATTAGGTAGATTTATATGCCAAAATACATTATGAAGAGCTTGGGGATTATTTGTACCTTGTTAAGTTTGACGATCTTGGAAAGCTCCCTTGCCTAAGGATTTTTTTAATTATCATTTATTTATAGCACACAATTTATAAATGTATAATGTACTTGAGTATACAGTGAACTAGTCATCTATTCACTGCACCCATCAAGATACAGAGCAGCTATATTAGCCCAGAAATGCCCTCGTGATCTTTTTTTTTTTTAAAATTGTGGCCCTGAGTATTGAATCTAGGGCTTTGTGAATGCTGTGAGAGTCACAACACTTGTCACAAATTTTAGTCACTTTTACATCCTAATCCCTTCCCTCATCCCCCTCTCTTCTTCTCATGTCCCTCTCTACCATTGTGTCTTCATTTAGTGCGTGGTCCACCGAGTTTAATTACAGTTGCTTGTCCAAGCCTGGGTGGGAGGTTAGTTAGTGGAGTAAGGACAACTTATCTGTGGCTACAAACAGAAGAAAATAGTATCCTTTCCTCTGACAACTGTAAATTGTCAATAGTTCCTCAGAGAGGAATGGGTCCTCATGGGCCCCTCCTCCACCTATGATGAAATGTTGATAGACCCAATCTTGTACAGACCTTGTTCTAATGGGGACATCATGAAACAGGAAGAGGAGAGAATGTAAGAGCCAAGATTGGGGAGATGTGCAGCAAAAAGCTGTCTTCTGGTCATAACAGTCGTTGGGTCAGGAACTGACTGCTTTTTAAGTTATTAACATATGCTTTCACCATTAGCAACCACTTCATCCTATTTGGGTTTTTTTGCCATTCTTCTCTGCTTTTAAACTCAATACTTTATGTATTTATTTTTGTTTTCTAGCTTATTAATAAAAGCCAGACATGGTTTTTCTCCTCTGATAAATACTACATGCTATATTTTCTTTTTATTTCTAAATACAACGTTATTACTTTATCAGTTCCCAGATTAGAGCCAACCTGCCACTTTCTGCCACCCATTTCCCTCGTTCCACTTGTCTTATTGAGTTAACATGGGTCCTGTGCCACCAACAAGTTTACATGTGCAAGCTCCCAGTGGCCTGAAAGCCTCTGCTTCCCTATGTTCATGGACCAACCCTGGGTCTTGCAAACTTTCCACTCCCTCTTCTGCAATCATCCCCGAGTCATAGGTATGAGAGGTTTGATATAGGAATCCTATGCAGGGACACACACTCTACAGTTTCTTATTCTTTAAAAGTTGGCCAGTGTGTGCATCACACTCTGTGGTTTAAGGAAGCATCACTGGTGAGAGTTGAGGGATGCGCTAGTGTTCTCTCTACCCGCCCCCTTCTGTGTTCCATGAGTCTTAGGTGTAGCGATTCCACTGTAGATATGGGACCTAGGACTGGGCGTCCCTCAGATGTTTGACCAGTTGTGGGATTCTGTAGTAGCCTCTATCTGTTCCAAAAAGAAGCTTCTTTGATGAGTGTGTATGATACATAAGCACAGGACCCATGCCAACTCAATCAGACAAGGGCCCAGAGTGGAGCGAGGGAAATGGGTGGCGCGTCAGCCTTAGTCTGGGAACTACTGGAGCCTGATTACTATTGGTGAGGTTGAGCTGGCATTACCAACAATCTCTAGACAGGTTGACTAGACTCCAGTGGATGAATTTGCACTGACGGACATCTGGGTACAATGCTTGACTGGCTAGGACTTAACACATATGGAGGAATATGTGAGGTCTGGCAGGGGGGCAGCTAAATTTGGTTAATAACTTGTATGGATGTACAAAAGCTCAATAAAATTTTTTAAAATATCATGAAGAAAAGAGCCTTACTATTCAAAACTTTTTTTTTAATTTTAAAAAATGAGACTTTTGTACATGAATGCTGTATTATGTAATTTCCACCCCCCCTTTCTCCTCTCATGTTTCCCCCCCTCTCAATTTCCAAGTCTTTTTAAATTATTGTTTTACACACACACACACACACACACACACACACACACACACTGCAATGAGTCCATTTAGTGGCAATTATGTATCTGTGTTTAGGGCTGTCTAGTGTGTGTGTGTGTGTGTGTGTTTAGGGCTGACCACTGGGATTGGTCACCCAGTGGCCAATCTGGGAACCTATAAGGGAACTTGCCCATGGGGAAAACTGATTTTTTCCCTCTGTCAACACCCATCATTGCCTATAGCTCTTCATCAAGAGAACAGACCTTGTGAAATTTCCCCCATCAAAGTCTAATATTCATATTGTATGAAATCTTGGGCAAGTTACTTAAAGTTCTTTATCTTCAAAAAAAATCTTTCTGCAATGCTTGAGGATTGAACCCAAAACTTTGTACATGCTAAGCAAGTTTTCTACCATTTCACTGCACCCCCTGGTTTTTGTTATTAGATTTTAATGTTATTACATTATTTTAGATAATATATTCCCCATCTCTGCCTGGGGACTGTAAGTTCCTTGTAAGCAGTTATTTTAGTTTATGTCCATCATGTCGTATGTAGAGCAGAGATCATGGTTGGACTCATCAAAAGAGATCAACAGTAATGAAATTGTTTCTCACAGTGACTAAGTCAGAGCTGGCCCTCCTCCTCATGAGGGTCTTCTCCAGAGGCTGTGTCATGGTAAGCAGCCAAGGTGAGATATGAGCTTATTTAGAAGACCACAGCTCTAATTGCTTTGCTGGTAACATGGGTGGCAGCCCTTCAGCTACCTGGGGCCTGAAGAGACAATGAGATACACACACATTGATCACCCTTCTGGTTTCTTCAGTACATAGTAGTAATTTATATTTCCCTCTCTATGATATTCAGTTATTTCATTAAATTTCTCAGTTTATGGCCTAATAGTTAGTTATGGTCATTTTGAAAGGCTTTACCCTCCTTTGAATTGAGTTTTCATCTTCTCTTCATGGCTTCTAGTGACATTGCCAGTCCCTGCCTGTTATGGGGACTCTTGTCCAACCCTCACTTTGCCCCTCATGTCAGTGAACTTTTCTTGCTTGCTGGGAAGAAGTTCCCTTTCATCTTATGCTTTTGTCAAGATGCTTTTTCCTCTACTAGTATATTCTACCCTTACTTTATGTCTTGGCGTTTTGAAAATAAAAACCAAGAAAATTTATGGAGTAGGTCTGCTTTCCTGCCCTGTCTATATCCTGAAGTAATGAACACAGATTACCTAGATGTAGGGGAGTGAAGGGAAAGAGCAAAGGAACAAAATCTTCAAAGGTCAATGTCTCAAGAGGATTCTCTATACTTTTTTTGAGATATTCAGACATCCAGACATTCAGGGACCACATTCAATTCCTTGATCCTTTCATTGGTTTTTTTTTTTTGAACTGTATACCCAAGATTGCTAAAGTTTATGTACTTTTTCACCTAAGTTGTCTTTGTGTTTTTGTGGAACAGATTGTATGGATGGACATTCCTTAAGCATCTTCCCTTAGTTGTGAGTTGTATTCATAAAAACCATGTCCTATTTCCTACCCCCCAAACTCACAATGCCTCTGCTTCCATCTGTAAGACTTTCCCATAGTGTGTTCCAGCCTGACATGTATAACCAGTTGTAGAAGTTCTTCTAGCAGAAAACAAACTTCTGAAGTTTAACTATCTGGGCTTACACCCCAGGTCTATTGCTTAATAGGTAGTAAAACCTTGGGCAAGTTATTAAATGAGTATAAATATCAGGTTGTTTACCTAAGAAATGAAAATAATAATCTATCTCATACAGCTGCTGTGAAGAGTGAAATAGTTTAGGTGTTTTATAACTGCATCTCAGTATGTGCAATCTGTTATTAGGTTGTTGGACTAATATGATTCCCTCTCGTTTTACACCAGCTAGGCATCATTTATCCCTCTTCTCTTTTCCTGTCTAACTCTTCCATCATGGCATCCCCATTTAAAGTATCCCCATTTTCCCCATTTCTCCCTTGATAATATCAAATTCCTATGGCACCTCCTCTCTTGAGCTCTTTCTTTCCCTCTATCCCCAAAGTTCTATGTATAACCCTCCCTCCCAACTCTCATTTAAATACCCACATTTTATCCATTTCTCCCTTAGTAACACCTGTCCCCTACTGTTCTCTCTCATGTTCCTTCTTTCCGTTTACCTCCCTGTTCCTGCAGTTACATCAGGATACATACTTACATGTAAGGATTCAGTACTAGGATTCACATACAAGGGAGAATATACATCATTTGTTTTTCTGAGTCTGTGTTATTCTTACAGAATCCAGTGTTGTTGAATTTGACCCATGTTTCATCTTTGTTTGATGTAAATATGTATATTTATTTAAGAAAACACAAAGCACTTAAATGGGTTTTATCAGTCATAGATGCAGGATTTCATTTTTATGAAAGTTCTGCAATATGTATGTGCATGTATTTGTAATATTCATACAAATCACTCCCAAATTTTAAAAGGTTAAAAAAATCAACATGGAAAGAGGAAACCAAACTGTTGTCTCTGAGTTTCACCTCCTGGGTTTGCCCATTGAACCACGTCAGCAAGACCTGTTCTATGCCCTGTTCCTGGCCATGTACCTCACCACTTTCCTGGGGAACCTCCTCATCATTGTCCTCATTCAACTGGACTCCCATCTTCATACACCTATGTATTTATTTCTCAGTAATTTGTCTTTTTCTGACCTCTGTTTTTCCTCTGTGACCATTCCCAAACTGTTACATAACATGCAGCGCCAAGTACCATCCATCCCTTATGCAGGATGCCTGACACAAATGTACTTCTTCCTGCTTTTCGCAGACCTCGAGAGCTTTCTCCTTGTGGCCATGGCCTATGACCGCTATGTGGCCATCTGCTTCCCCCTGCACTACACCAGCATCATGAGCCCCAAGCTGTGTCTCTGCCTGGTGTCACTGTCTTGGGTGTTGACCACAGTCATCTCTTTGTTGCATACACTGCTCATGGCTCGGCTTTCTTTCTGTGCTGATAATATGATCCTCCACTTTTTTTGTGATATGTCAGCTCTGCTAAAGTTAGCCTGCTCTGACATTCAGATAAACGAAATGATGATATTTATCTTGGGAGGACTTGTCATTGTTGTTCCATTCTTGTTGATTTTTGTATCCTATGTACAAATAGTGTCCTCTATCCTCAAGGTCCCTTCTGCCAGAGGCATCCACAAGGCTTTCTCCACCTGTGGGTCCCACCTCTCCGTGGTGTCTCTCTTCTATGGGACAATCATTAGTCTCTACTTGTGCCCTTCAGCTAATAATTCTATTATAAAGGAGACTGTCATGGCTATAATGTACACGGTGGTGACCCCTATGCTGAACCCCTTCATCTATAGTCTCAGGAACCAGGACATAAAGGGAGCTCTAAGAAGGGTATTTTCAAAGCAGATATGTCATTTTACTCTGGGACAATGACTATGAAGATTAAAGCATGTTTCAAACAGCAGGCAAAATATTGAAGACAAGTAGTATTCTGGATAGTTTGGCCCTAGTAGTGCAGCTGTGGTAACACATCCGGTGGGAATCTTCTGAAGTTCCACTAGTTTGAGTCTATCATGCCTCGTGAGCTTACCGCTGTATTTCAGGTGTGACATAACTTAAGACCTTCTACACCCTAGATGGTCCTTGGTTACTCAATGCTGAATAAATACCATTCTAACCTTGGTGCTTAGAGTATTCAAAGAATATATATATATAGTTCTCTAAAAACAGATCCAAACTTCTCAAACATGTTGGTCCTTTGCTTCTGACAAACATATCCATTCAATGAGGACTATCTTCCAACTTAACAAGTACATGCTTTTTGAATTAATTTTTCTCTTTTAAAAATGTTTTATTTATTTTATTTTATGTGTATGAGTGTATTGTTTGCATATATGTAAGTGAACCCATGTCATACAATGCCTGTGGAGGTCAGAAGAGGGTATGAGATCCCCTAGAGCTGGAGTTACAGATGGTTGTTAACTGCTATGTGGGTGGTGGGAACCAAGCCTGGTCCTCTGTAAGAACAGCCAGTGCTCTTAACTGCTGAGTCATCTCTCTAGACCCTAGTTTTGCTCTTTAGAATCATTTTGCTTCTTTTAACTTATTCACTTCTTAGATTCCATTTCATGTGTTGATTAGCCACTTTTTAAATGGTCATATTCTAAAATTATCTCTTTTTCTTAATTCACTTCAATATCAGTTAATGGTGAAATTGTAAGCTACTTACATCAAATGTCTATATATTGGCTATGAATTCCTCTTTTAAATTAAAATTGCATAACCCAAAATGGGTCATACATTTCTATTACATATTGCTTAATTTACAAACAGTAAAATGATGGCACAGATTAGAGGTAATATAGTGACAAGGCTAGAATCTGTTTCCTAGGTAAGATTTTTCTCCATTATATGTTGAAATAGTTTGTTGTTCTGTTTATTTCTTTTTAAACAAGTATAAATGTCTTTAATACAAGTAATTGCTAATCCCTATAATGCCATGTTCAGTGTTTTGCATATTTATTTTGGATGTATAATAAAAATTTCTTGATTCAACTTGAATGCATTTTCATATTTCCTAAAATGCCTTAAAAATAAAAAAATTAAAAAAGGATATTTTTATGAGTTGGTGAGAGGTATACATCTCTAAATATAAGGGTGCATATTTAGCACGCAGTAAGAAATTACATTTGTCTAGGAATGTGACAAACAGATGTAAGGTTTTCTCTAAGATCTATGACCTTTCTGGCCATGTGGATTTGACAATGCTTACAGTACCACACATGAGTTCACTCCCACTGAGTGGGCCTTAAATTCAATTAGGTAGCTGTTGATAACCCCTAAGATAAAAGTGCCACTACTGCACCAATGGTGATAGTTTTCTGCACAGGTCATTGTTGTGGTTATTAGGCTGAGATGGCTGTTTGGTTTTCTCCCTTAGCACCTTGCATAGTATCCTCTGATACTATAAGAGCTAGTCTTCAGGAAGGAAGCTTCCAGGTTAGTTCCAGCTTGATCACTCCAAGTCCAGTTTCCAAAGTATGTTCTGTTTTCAGCAATAGGGTCTTACCTTCAAGTTCGGGGCAGCAATCAAAGGCTGTGATACTAGCCTGTGTTATTTGGGGAGTCTTTTAGACTACCCTAACCAATTGCTCAAAGGGAAACTAGTCTTTGCAACAGATGGAGACTATTACAGAGTTCCACAACTGGTCAAACACAGAGAATAAGTGTGAGATGCACAGCCTTAAGTAACACATCAACAATGCAACCTCTACACCTAAGGCTCACAAACATAGAACAAGGGGCAGAGAGAATATTAATGCATCTCTCAACTCTCACCAGTGAAGCCTCCTCACACAACAGATGGTGATTAACACAGAAAGTCACAACTGGCCAAAATGTAGAGGTGCAGAGTGTGTGTCCCTTGATAGGGCTTCTATATTACCCAGGGCTCAGGGACCATTGTGGAAGAAGTGACTATGGGAAGACTACAAGAGCCGGGAGGGGTGGATGAGCCCATGGAAACAGTTTTCCAGGTGGCTAGGAACTTGCTCATGTGAACTTGCAGCAATGGCGACAGCATGTATGAGACCCATACAAACTCACACTAGACAAAACACAGCATAGAAGTGGGGAAATGGGTAAGAAGCCCCAATCTTGACTGAGGAACTATTGGCAGGTAATCACTGCTTGGTGAGGGAGAGCTGGTCTTCTTTAAGGGAGTGACACTAGTTAGGTTGACCAGGCTCCAGTGGATGGTCTCATACCAAGATACCAAGTAACATTTGGGGACATAAATGTCAACTCGCTAGGCCTTAATATAGATGAGAGAATGCATGAAATCCGACGGAGGTGGCTATAGGGGGTACAGATATGGGAGAGGGTTCTAAATATGTTCAAGATATATTGTATGAAAAGCACAAAAAATGAATACAAAATTAAACAATGCTATTATACCAAAAAAGTAATACTTTAAAGAGAAATCTTCCTTATAATGCCAATGTAGACTTTACTTATTTTTCCAAAAACTTAATGATTACTGAAATCGTAGGCCCACTTAGAAGCATCCAAAACAACAAACAACATAGTCCCGGCCCTTCCCTATCAAAGCAGTTGGGAGTGTTATCCTAGATATTATCTATGTACCAACTAACAGTGTATATAGTATAGCAGAGATAAATTGTACTCGCAATTGTCTAACTGTTTTCACTTCAAATGTACTACAAACTCAGCGTTTCACATAAGAACTTGGAGCACTTTTTATTTTTGTTTTGAGACAGAGTCTCTCTGTTGCTCAGGCTGGCACTGGAATTGCAGCTGTCTTTCTGCCTCATCTTTCTGAGTGCTGGGATTACAAGTGAGCACCCCCATACTGGCAGAATTTGTAACACTTTCAAAATACTTTATTTCAATAATTTTTGGTAGGTATTTTGGTTGTTTTCAGTTTTTTTATTGATTTGAGTAATAGTGCTTCAATTTTATAACATAGCCCATATATTTTTGTGAACTAGTCTTTTTTCCTATGGACACATTCCCAGAAACAAGTATATTAGATCAAAGAACATAAACATTTTATAATTGGGCAGAAACTGCCAAACTGCCAAAGAAGTTCTACTACTTTAGCTCTCTCCCGAAAGAAAACGGGAGTGACAACTGCTTCAGTGTTGCCAACACTGGGTATTTCAGATGTTTTCTATGTATTCAAAAATTTTGGTTGAATTCTATAGATTGCTTAATTTGGTAATTACAAGTGACAAGTTTGTTACAGTAATTTTTTTTTACTTTTACTCCTGGATATTTTTATAATTTTAGAAGAGCTCACAATTGAATTTTTGACAGTCAATTTTATACATAGTAAATTTATCCATTGCTTTGTGCAACAGTTCTGCAACACTCCGCATTACCAAATTTCTAAAAAAAGGGCTCTTAAATATCTTGACATACAATCAAAGCTAACATAGATATTGATAAACAAGCCTACTCTTTTCAAATACTTAATGCTATTTTTCTCCCCCTTCTAACTGCACTTTAACAATAATGTAATCATGGTCTAACAGTGGGAACAGCAAAGAAAGTAAGGTGCGTGCTAACAAGCCTGCTGACCTGAGTTCAATCCCCAGGACCTACATGGTGGAAGAAAACAACCAAGTACTGCAAGTTATCCTCTAATCTCCATACATGTGCCATGGCAAGCTTGCACACACACACACACACACACACACACACACACACACACACAACAAGTTATCCTCTAATCTCCATACATGTGCCATGGCAAGCTTACACACACACACACACACACACACACACACACACACACACACAGACACACTTTCTAAATAAAAAATTAAATGAATAAATATTTGTAATCATTTGTCTTTAAAAAGAACATTGATTGTAGCCGGGGGTGGTGGCCCACGCCTTTAATCCCAGCACTTGGGAGGCAGAGGCAAGAGGATCTTTGTGAGTTTGAGGCCAGCCTGGTCTACATAGTAAGTTCCAGGACAGCTGGGGCTACAAGGAGACCCTGTCTCAAAAAGCCAAAAATAAAAGAACAATGTAAAATAATATAGTGTTTCTACAAAGAGTTTGTGTGTGTGTGTGTGTGTGTGTGTGTGTGTGTGTGTGTATGCTTTTTGTCCTCCAGCTCTAGGGTAAAGGGGTGATAGAATCCTCCAGATAGCGTAGGATATTGAAGGGGATGGCAAATTCACCCTATATGTTGGGCAGTATGCTGGGCATAGGAAAGTTTTTAGAGCAGCCACATCATGGAAGCACTAGACTAGGAAACAGTGCATAAAATACTCCATGCACAAATGTAAAGGTTCTCAGCCACCCTGAGTCATGAATATCTAAGAAATTCTTATACGCACTAGTGGAGCCCATCCAACAGCGAGGGGTTGAGAGTCTGAGTTCCCCAAGGCCGTCAAGATAATGAAAAAGGAGACCCTGTGGCAACAGTTAAGGTTGGAGCACAAAACCAGACAGAAGGCATGGTTAAGTCCAAAAGACAGAAGGGGACCTATGAGATCTGAGAGCCCCATCAGCTCCATCACTAAGGACAACCATAGATTGTTCATGCAAACAAAAAAGATGCCAAGTTCCCTCAGAGGTGGTTATGATCTAAGGCACCCTCTCTGGGGTAAAGATGACACATAAGCCTTAATCTAGAAAATCACTAAAAAAGTATCTTTAAAATAAGTGTGTAAATTTGTAAATATGAATGGGAAAAAAGTCAATGGAGTTGAAAATCAAGAAAAAATAGATTTAATATCAATTAAACTCAATGTTTATTCTTTAGGGTACTTAATATAGCAGACAAGACTTTGACAAGTAAAACAAGACAAAGCCGAAACATGGCATAAAGAACCCAAGTGAAAAGCAGCCAGATGAACAGGAAAATAAACAGTATAAAATTAAAAGTGGGGTGTAAGGAAGGTGTATAAGGGGAAGCTGGATTCCTCTAGCACATGTGGTGCGCATGCTGCATTGAAATATTATACAAACGCCATTAGTATGTACAATAAATACATGTTAATCAAAAGGGAAATGAAGAAAATGATAAAAGTTCAAATCAAAAAAGACATAATTATGTTCTAGGAATTTATATACTAGCAGTTAGAAATTTCGTGATAAGGTGGGAAAGATTGAATACACTACAACTCATCAAAAAAGATGAACTTAGGAATGTGAAGTTGGGGCAGCCACTGGTTTCCTCCCAGTCTGTTTCCTGTCTTGTACAGTGTAAATAATGGTCTCTTCACCATGTGCTCTTCAGTGTGATAGAGACAAATCCATGGAGAGACTGAAGATAGTTTTTCCCACAAACAATTCCACACTAGATATTAGCTTTTATTTTTTAAAATGTGTGTGTGTGTCTGTGTGTCTGTGTGTCTGTGTGTCTGTGTGAGTGTCTACTGAGTGTTTGAGTGCCCAAGAGGGCCAGACAAGGGAATCCAATCCCTTGGACCTGGAGTCACAGGCAGTTGCGAGCCCCCTGATGTGGGTGCTGAGAACTGAACTCAGTGCCTTTGCAAGAGCAGCATGCGTTCTTAATGGCTGGGCCATCTCTTCATCCCCTACGTTTTATTTTTATGACAAGAACATTCACTATACCCTTGTAATAGTGAAAAGTTGGAAACATATTTTTAAAATATTAAAGGATTAACAAAAGAATGATCAAACAAGAGCCTATGTAAGATCTAGTCTAGTATTCCATACCACAAAGTTAAGAGAGTTTGATTTGTGAGGATATGACAAGACCTCCTAGATGTATTCTTTCATGAAAAAAAGGAAATTCAGAATGCTATGCACAGAATGCTATGCAGAGAATCTGGGGTGGTAATGGAAGCTGATTTGGGTGGGTGAAAGAGATTCTTATCTCTGAATTTTTCACAGTGCAGATAGAAAATATTGTATCTCTGAAGATTTCTAAAAGTCACATAAAATATCTAGAAGTGTCCCAGAAAAGACAATTCAGGACTCTAACATTACAGCCCAACCAATAAAACCTCCTTAAAAAATCCCACCCCCACATCCTCTGGTTTGTCTCTACCTACCCTCTGCTGTTACTTACACTCTATTTTTCTGGACCACTAATGCATTTTTCCTTACCTTCATTTGTTCCCTGGTTACTTTTTTCAAATTTGAAAATTAGCCTCCATGTCAGGCATTCAGACAATAAGCAGAGGAATCTGACCTATTGTCACTTACCTTCACCTTGTACTATGTAAGCATGTGGTTATATTTACTAAATTATTATTCAGGTCTAAAGTTTTATTTAACAAGAAAAAAAGATGATATAGGATCAAATTAATTGAGATTGAAGAATGGGGAGAGAGAAGAGGAGATGAAGAAAGAGACAGACAGACAGAGATAAGAGACTCAGAGAGACAAAGACAGAAAGGGGGGGATTTTGAAGTATTATTGCCCCGGAAATGCCAATTGATTCAGACCCCGTTATTCATCCTGGGATGAAGCTCTCCATCTGAATCCCCTTTTTAGGGCACCCTTGACCTCCTTGCTGCGAAGGCTGTAGATGAAAGGGTTCAAGGTTGGTGTAACAACTGCATAGACCACACTGGCCAAGCGGTCATAGCGAGCTGAGTAGGCAAATGATGGTCGGAAATAGACGGAGACCACAGAGCCAAAGAAAAGCGACACCACCACCAGGTGGGCCCCACAGGTGGAGAAGGCACGACGCCGGCCTCCTGTTGACTTCACTCTGAGCACCACCACTAGGATGTGCGCATAGGAGAGGGATACGAGGAGCAGTGGGGTCAGCACCACTGTCAGGCCCTCTGAGAAGATGGCAGTCTCTGCAGTGGACGTGTCTGAGGTCGCCAAGCTCAGCATCACCGTCATGTCACAAAAAAAGTGTCTCACAGGGGCAGACAGCGGGTAGGAGAGTGCAGAGATTAGCAGCGTGTGCAGCAGCGAGTGCAGATGGGCCACCACCCAGGATGCCACCACCAGGACAGCGCAGCGCCGGGGTGTCATGACTGCTCCATAGTGTAGCGGCCTGCACACAGCCACTGCGCGGTCATAAGACATGGCTGCCAGGAGATAGCTCTCGGTGATGCCCAGAGCCACAAAGAAGTACATCTGGGCAAAACATGCCTCGAAAGACACAGCCTCTCCGGGGTGCAGCAGGCTGACCAGCAGTCTGGGGACTGTGACTGTGGAGAAGCAGATGTCCACGAGGCTCAGATGACCCAAGAAGTAATACATAGGGGAGCACAGAGCCCTGTCAGACCTCAACAGCACCACCATGCTCAGGTTGCCCAGGGCATTGAGCAGATAGATGCTAAGGAAAAGCAGGAACAGCAGTGGATGGGCGTTTGTGCCATCCATCAAGCCGAGGAGCAAAAACTGTGGGTGGGTTGTGAGGTTAGCCAAAGCCATGGAATGCGGGGGCCAGTGGGAATGCTGAGGGGAGAGAAGGAAGTGCAAGTCAGTCTCAGCAATCTGGGCCAACTTCCCGGACCTCCAGGTACCAGATATAATCTCTAATACTATATATTTGTGTGTATGTAAATAAACACATGGAGATGTATTTCTGCTTGCTAAAGTGGGTTGAAAACCACATTGCTCTATCCAATAATATTCCTAATTTTATGAGGAAGCTCATTTAAATTTTATTTCAAGAGTGTGTTTTCTAAGGGAGCGGGAAAGTACCAAACTATGGAGCAAGTCAGGCCTGATTTCAATCCTGATTGTGTCACTAAAGCTACGCGATCTCTCAGACCCTTAGTTTCTTTCCTTTAATAAAAATAACTATCTCGGGCCTGGGGAGATGGCTCAGCAGTTAAGAACACTGTTCTTGCAAAAGACCTGGGTTCAAATCCCAGCACCCACATGGCAGCTAACAACTGTCCATAACTCCAGTTCCAGGGGAACAGACAGCCTCTTCTTCCTCCACGGGCATTGCACGACACGGGAGCACTTACCTATATGCAAGCAATACACGCACACACATGAAATAAAAATAATAAAATTTTTTAAAAAATAGTTATCCCTGGAGATGATTATGAATATAAAGAAACAAGTTGAAAATTCTTAGCAAGTACCTGGCACATAACAAATGCCCAAACTTTTGTTCATTATCATCATCATAACCACCCTTATCTCTTCAGTTAAACAATTAGTCAGAGGCAGAGTTAAGACCTGGGTCATCTGAACACCAGTCTAAATCTCTTTATGAAACATCTCACTGAGTTTGCCATCAATTTTCTTTACATTATATGCTAGCTCAGGAACTGGCAAGCCTCTTCTGTGAAGGATCAGATGGTAACCATTTTATTATTTCTGGACCATACAGTCTCTTTTGTACTTGGGTCTGCCGCTGGAGTGCAAAAGCAGCCATCTACCATAGGTAAATGAATGTCTACTGCCGTGATCCAATAAAACTGCATTTATAAAATGGAACTTGGGCTATATTTGGCCCGTGGGAGGTGGCTTGTTGCTGCCTGTACCAGATATTGTAGGAGATGGGGCTATGGATGAATCTTAACTTTTTGCCCTTAAACAGCTTGACCTTGAGCAGCTTGCAGAGAAATTAGAGCTCTTCTGATTTTATGAACCAAGCACAAGGATATGATTCTTCCTGGGCAGTCTTGGAAGAATTCCAAGAAAAGGGCCTGAGTTGGATCATTGGAAATGGATAGGAGCATGTTAAACAAAAATGCTGCTGGGGAACGGGGAGTATGATTCCAGACAGTGGAAAGTGGGTGTGGGAGGGTGTTGATACAGGAAGCATAGAGTAAACAGGGTGAAACATTCACATACAGCACTGGGACAAAAGCTGCCCTTGCTCTGACCTCTGTGCATTCAATCAGTTGGACAGGAAACTTCTAAATTTCTGTAATCTAGAAATAGTGCCCTCATTTTGTTCTTCATTCTTGCTTTTTGCTAAAACATTGCACTGTCTTCCCATTGCTCTGAAGTCTCTAGAACTGTCCTACCACTGAACTGACCTGCCCACCATCTGCCAAGAGAAAAGACCAGGATTTCGTGTGATCCTAGAGGATGATCCGACAAGGAACTGGCAGGAGGATTGAAGCGAAACTGTTCTCTTCCTCATGTCATGCGGAGCAGATGGAACTAGGATAAGGATAAGATACAAAGCAACAAGTAGCTGGAGCATATTGAGCTGTCTCACCTGCTGGCCGCATGCTGAACCTCAACATTGTCCACAGTGTCTGTGGGAGGGCCTCCCTCCTGGCCAAAGATCCATAGTCATGAGGGCAGATGCATCACCATCCATCTCAGTCCAGAGACAAGTGAGTTTCCTGTAGACTGGGAGAGCAGTCTTGGAGTGAAAGAAATCCAGAGCTATAGGGGCCCTGGGTGTTCTTCCCACCCAACTGTATTGACTGGCCAGCCCCTATATTACCCAGTGGATACAGTGCAGACTGCTCAGCACAGTGTCCAAAGCTTTCCAGCATGGCTCCCAGAATTCTAAAGCAGTCTTACTTCCAACTGCTGCCAGAGGTTCCCCTTTCTCTGAGGTCAGCCTGGCCTTTTCACTGCCCCCTACACGTTTCTAAGGAGCCTTCCCCACATACTTACACTTTCCAGCCGGAAATGCTTTTCCTACACTATCCAAATACTAAAACCTGGCTCCCCCTTCCTCCAAGAAGCCCCATGCCCTCTCAAGATCTCTGAAGCTCTCTCTGTCGTCTCTCTCTTTCCTCTTATTTGAACTCAGAATTCACTTGCTGATATTACTTTTTTTTTCCTGCTGTGCTGCTCATCTTCACCACTAGATGAGGAAACTTCTGATAGCGCATATTTGTCTTTCCCCCCTCCCTTTGACCTTGCTAAGGTCAAACCCTAATTCCTCTGGCAATCAGGGAAGGTTCCACAGAGGAGGTAGCATTTGAGCAGGGCAAGCTTGAAAGCATTTGCTAAACAGACACAGGTGGAAGAAGATTTTAAATGGAAATACAATGGAAATTATGAATGGAACTTTAGGAAGTTATTTAATCTCTCTGAGTTGCTTTGTTGCCTCTCAAAAAATTATTATTACTATTAAATAAATAACTGAGAGACAAGTGTGGTGATATGTGTTGAGTCAGTAGGAGGATCCCCTGAATTCAGGAGTTTGAGATCAGCCTGGGAAACATAGTGAGATTCCATCTAAAAAATAAGGGGGCAAGGAGATTACTCGGTGGATAAAGCACTTGCTACACAAATGTAAAGACCACAGTTAGGATCTCCAGAACCAACATAAATGCTAGGTGAGTTGAGGTGGCAGTCCGCCTGCAATTCCAGCCTCAGAAAGTGGGACTGGGATCCCCAGAACAAGCTGGCTAGCAAGTGAACTCTGGATTTGACTAAGAGACCCTGCCTCAATGAATGGGGTAGAAGAGGGATCAAGGATGATTCCAAGGATGATCCTCAGGCCTCCACATGCAGGTGCACCCTCATACATGCACACTCATACATGTGTCCATACACATGCACACCACAGACATACACACATACACACACACACAAAAAATGAAAAAAGTGGAATAAGCTAGCATTCTCATAAATGCTTAGCAGCCAGTATATGCTTAATAAATGTCACCTCATCCAGTTTCTAATTATTATTTTACAATATTTATTTCTTATTGAATTTTTGTACATTCATATAATACATTTTCATCATATTTAGGCCCCCTCCCTATTTACACCCACCCCATATGAAATAATTATCTTTATTATGTGAGATATATTGACTGGGTTTATAGTGGCTGCCCCTGACTGGGTTCTAGGATGCTGACTACTACTGTTGAGGCAGAGTCCTTCCTGAGCCCCAGGTAAGGTAAGTGTTGCTTTGAAATATTTAGGAAGGATTCATTCACAGTAGAAAAATAAAGCAGAGAGGCATAAGGTGTAAGACCAGGAACCTTGCCTTCCAGGCAGCTTATCAGCCTAAACTCTATACAGAGTTACTCATGAAGCAACAATTCAGTTACATGAAGACCCAGAGCACATAGGGATGCATAGCTTCACAAAGACACAGGTAAGTCCTGACATACCCAGATGCACAGACTTGACAAAGATACTCACACTAACATACAGAGATGGTGTGGACTCTCAATCACTGAGACAAAGATATATACACACAGTCCATGCACTACAGAAAACATAACCATAGACACATGAACACCTAAACACACACACACACACACACACACACACACGCACACACACACACATAACAGAAACATGGAGACCTCAGTGGGCTCTCCAAATACAGTGAGATCTGTCACCTGCCAGCTCTGACCTTACCGTCTCTGGCTGAAGGTCTGCCTGCCATAATGTAGTGGGCAGTGGGAAACAGGGGAAACCATTGATATCCCCAGGACTCTCAGCCCTGAGGGTTTCTATCTAATTTCCTGAATCCAGTCTCTTCCTGGAGAACTCAGAGTCGTCTCTCAAGGGTCCACACAGGTTTCTCTTTAATGGCAATTTTAACTTCTAGCCCAAGATGTGCCCTTTCTAGTCCAAAGACTGCCATCCCTCTTCTACTTTCCTCTGCCAATCTTTCATTCATTTCTTTCCAAGAGTTTAGTCAGCCGTCTTCACTATTGCATCTACTCCACATGTACTTGAACACTGAGCAGTGAAGACATTCAAAGATAAACAAGGCATAGTCAGAGGGCTAGCCTTCCTACTTTGTTATCAGGCATATGGCAATGAGTTTTAGGTATCACCTTACCCAACACCAAGCTCCAAGCTTGGAGAGCAAAGTCTGGAAAACATTTTGCCTAAAATCACTCAGCAATCTGCGGACCAGCCAAGATTCTAGTCACAAGCTCTGAATCATGTTTTTTATTCAATACACTTTCATGTTGTCTGCCACACATCAGCAGGTATTTATTTACTACCCCCCTTCAGGCACTTGATCTACCGACCTTACCTTTTGCCATTGTTTGTTCCCCTTATGAGTGTGACTGCACTCTACCATCCATGGCACATGCTCAGAGGCTTATCTGCTTGAGGCAGAGGCAGAGTCACAGCAGAAATGCCCTAGAGAGGGAGATTTGTTTCCACAGCCAAAGGTGGGAGAGATGACAGGCAAGCTGGGGAGGAGGGGGTCAACCGACTAATTAATTATCCAGAAAACACTGTGGGGAGTCACTGTGGCCTCTGAAAGCCTTGGCCCCGTGAGGACTTCTTGGCCCTCAGTCAGCCTAGAGTCCCCTCCCCTGTACTGTTAAAGAAATGGAGTGGTAGAAGGGAACAGAGGTTCTGGGAGTCCATAATTGAGGTAGGTATCCCTCAGCATGCTGGTGGCTGTGCTGTCCCTGTGCTCAGTGGGTTATGTACTCATCTGCTTCCATCTCAAGAAGATGCCTAAGAGAGATAGGGCCAGTAAAGACCAACAACCAGGGGACACTGTCCTCTTCCCC